ATTTTTCAACGATCTGTTACATTATGTTCGATTTTTCTCCCCACATTGTTACAATCAGAATTGTTTGCAGATCTGTTTCTATACATTTTTAAACTATTTACATGATACATTATTGGTTTTTTGGAATAATTCATCATTTTAACAAGATAATTTACGTTTCCCACTTTTTGCACAATTTCACCTGGACCTTCCCAGACTACTTCCAACTTAGAAGGTCTGAGCGGGTTCAGCTCAAGTACCATATCACCCACTGCAAAGTCTCGGTGACAAGCTTTCTTATCATGGTAGTATTTCTGCTTGGTTTGAACATTCAACAGCTTGTCCCTAGCCAATTCTTCTACCGCTAAGAGTTTTTCTTGTAGGTTCCTGACAAAATCAGCGACTGGTATTGTACTGCTTCTGACCACACCTTCCCAATCCGATCTCAATAAATCCAAAGGTCCTTGTAGGTTTTTCCCAAACACTACCTCACTCGGTGAAAAACCTCCAAGAGAAACATGGGGTGCACTTCGGTATGCAAATAACACAAAAGGTAATAGTTCATCCCAAATGTTTCTGTATTCTTGGACTAAGGTTTTGATCATTCTTAACAAAGTTTGTTGTCCTCTTTCCACCATTCCGTGAGATTCTGGATGATAAGGGACACTAAAGTTCAATTTAATTCCGCTGATTTCACAAATTCGATTCATCAATTCACTTTTGAAAGCACCTGCTTGGTCACAAATAATTTGAGTAGGTACCCCTATTCGAGAGCATAAGTCCACCACAACTCAAGCAATCGTTTGAGCCGAAAGGCTGCTGATTGCGTATGCCTCAATCCATCTACTGGCTTGACATATGAACGAGATAATGTATTTTTTCTTGGACTTTGTTGGCACAAAAGGTCCTAGTACATCCATTTGAAGATATTGGAATACTTGATCTGGGATTTCTGTCAGTTGCATTTCCGCCTTTGTACTGTCGGTCTGTTTCCCCGTTCTCTGACAATAATTGCAGGAATTAACATAGTCCTTGACTTTTTTGGAAATGCCAGGCCTATAAAAATGCTGCGAAATCCTACTTAAAGTTTTTTTGGATTCCAAGGTGTCCGCTACTTGGACTATCGTGGGCAAGTTGCAGAATTCTTTCTCTACACCTCTCTGGAATCACTAGTTGTTGTACTGGTTCCGCTTGATCATTTGATTTGGGAAAATATTCTCGGTACAATAGTCCATTTTGTCCCCACAAAAAGGTTACTTTTTGTTGTACTGGTTGTACCGTGTAACTGTCGGCTTGAGACCTCAAAGAATCCAATGTAGGGTCTTCCATCTGTTTTCGTTTGAATTCCTCTGATCCCATTGGTACAAGTAGATCCTCTGGTTCAGTTTTTATCTCGGTTGTACTATCCGGTTCGTCTGCAAGGGGTTGATGTTGCGTTACATGTCCATCTGAATGCTCCTCAGAGTTACCTTCAGTTGGGACTTGTTCTATTGCTTTGCTTCGCGCACGTGTCACTGCTTGTACGGAAGCTGATTTTAAAGTGTGTTGGTGGCTAAAAAATGCTAGATT